AGAATAATTGCAAAGTTAAAGGCATCAACTATGTTCAAATCCGTCACAGAAGACAAGCCCCTGCTGTAGCCAGGTAGGATGGAGAGAGCCATTCCCAGACCCTAAAAAGCAGTTTCAGTGGGCTGCAGTACTACCAACTAGAAGACTTCAGAAAAAGTGCCCAGAGGCCAATCCATCCATCCCCTGTTGTGACATCACTAAGCTACGTGTAATCACGAAGGGGGGGGGGGGCTCTCGGCACAGACTGTCCTGAGGAATAGCTGCGGTCGCCTCTGCTGCACCGGGGATGCCAAGCTGGTTCATGTGAGTCAGAGACATTCACAGACAAAGCGCTCATGATCACTAAGGCTCCCCAAAGGAGACCCTGAACTACTTATGCCCATACCAGTGTCTCTCCATCAGTGCTAAGATGCTGGGCACAGGTACATGGGAGGAGGGTCACTCTCGGAGAAACAACGTAAAGCCAAAAACTCACATCTTCACAAACCCTCCCTGTTCCTGCTTCGAGAGAGACTGAGAGACAGCAGGGGCCACACAGAATACCTCCATTAACCTGGAGCTGCCCTCTGGCACTACCTAAAGACTGACCAGGGCAGGGGCAGGAACAGGTAGGTGGAGTTTGCGTCAGTGACAGTTCCTCAAGGGGGCGGGACTACAGGCAGGCACTGTGGCCTGGAGGACATCTCACTTTTGGGTACAAAAGGTCAAATGCTTCTCGTTTGCTGTTGGGGGAAAATGCTGGAAGATGGTGTGCTAAGGCCTGGAGTGTTACAGACAGAATGGAAGCCAGAAAAGGAACTCCAACACAACAGAAAGAAAACTTCTAAAACCAGCCTACAGCAACAGGAAGGAGACTGCTGTTCTGATTCTGGCCTCCTTCTAGGTGACGGGGCTTAGATGAATTATTTAGAAACATTGGGGCTATCTCCAGCTGGGAAGCAGAAATTATAATACTCAAAACTGGGGCAAGGTTGTGCATGGACTCCTGTGTCATCTGAGTGTCACTTGTTATCATGCCCCCTGTGGGCACCCTCTGCAATCTCCTGAAGCA